CTCAAAAACATTAAGACTGGGCTTCCCTGGTGGCGCAGTGGTTGAGAGCCCGCCTGCCAATGCAGGGGACACGGGTTCGTGCCCCAGTCGGGGAAGATCCCACATGCCGCGGAGCGGCTGGGCCCATGAGCCATGGCCGCTGAGCCTGTGCGTCCGGAGCCTGTGCTCCGCAACGGGAGAGACCACAACAGTGAGAGGCCCACGTACCGCAAAAAAAAAAAAAAAAACCACTCTGAGCACTGAGCCACAAGGAGAACAGCTCAGACGTGTGATCGGAATGGAAAGCAGACGGAGAAGTGCAAAGTTATTGCTGTGACCAAACCATGACATTTCTCCTTCCCTTTATTATTATTAATAAACTACTGGAAAGGATTAAGCTATCTTAATTAAGATTAATCTTAATTAAGATTAAGCAGAACAGGTATAATAGATTAAAATCTTTCCCACGTATTTAAAATTAGGAACCTGTAATAAAATGGAGCCAGGAATGCTGCTTCTGCAATCTCAAGGAATTCCTTTGAGAATCCTCTACCCATACTGCTGGTGGCATCTGATTCACTTGGCTGCTGGGTTCTACTGCCAGTTCCCTCTCACAGCCTCACAGCCTGGGCCTTTCCTGTTCCAGGCCCTTTGCTCCGCACAGGTGACCCTCCTTTGTCCTTCACTGTTGACGGGAACTGGCCTGAGCTTCCCAGCCCTGCCCTCCTCTCACACGGCCAAGGCCAACCCTCCACCATGTCCTTCACCCTATGTCCCTCCTCCTTGGGTACCCCCCCATCATAAAGCTGCCACCCTCCCCTCCTCAGCCTCGGCCTCTCTGCAGACAGGCACAAGCACATCCTAGAAAGCACCCACTCACATCAGAGATTTCCAGGAGTTCTGGCCCCATGTTTCTCACTCTGTCGCCAATGTTCTGGAAAGAATTCTTTATTTATTTACTAAATATTTATTGAGTTCCTCTTACTCTGGAGGCAAACATCATGCTGGATGTTAGAGAGACAACAAAGAGTAAAGACACAGTCCCTCCTTCTAGTAGAGGAAGTAAGGACCCCTCCCCAGAGGAAAGTAGAGCAGTAGTACACTACCCCTCATGATAAGTGCTGACAGGAAACGAGCAGGACAGAGAGAGACCAGAGGCCGCCTGTGGACAGTGGCCAGGGGAGGCCTCCCTGAGGACAGAGTGTTTTGGATAACACCTGAAGGATGAGAAGGAGCCCCGGGAAGACTGGGGGCTGAGGGAGCAGAGTGTGCAAAGGCCCTGTGGCAGGATAGCCTGGCCCATCGGAGGAGCTGAAAGGACACTGTAGTTAAAGTGCAGTGAGCAGGGGGGGACCAGGGAGACCTCGGAGACTTGGGCAGAGACCAGGTCACGAGGTCCGTAGCTAGGAGCTTAGAATTTATTCTGAATTTGGTGAATAGCCATTGCAGGGTTTTTAGAGAGGAGTAAGAAAATAATAGCCCTTGCAGGTGTGCAGAGAAGGAACTGAGAGAGGCCAGAGCAAAAGTAGAAAGAGCAACTGAGAGACGGCGGCTCGTGATGCACAGGAGCCAGGACAGGGGCAGCCTCGGGGTGCACGGTGACGAGTGTGCAGGCAGGTGTGGTGTATACACGACGGTGCTACTCAGCCACGAAAACGAGGAAACCCTGTCATCCGCGACCACGTGCATGGACCTTGAGCGCTAAGTGAAACAAGGCAGACAAAGACAGACACTGTGTGATCTCACTTATATGAGGAAGCTTACCAAAAAAAACCACGGAAAGAGATGATATTTGTGGCTACGAGAGGGGCGGGGAGTGGAGGAAGGTGGTCGAAAGGCACCAACTTCTAGTTATAAGATAAACTAGTACCAGGGATGTTAGTACCACATGGTGACTGTAGTTGACATTCCCATGTGATATACAGGAAAGCTCAGAGAGTAAAGCCTGAAAGTTCTCATCACTCTTTTCTTTCTCTGCATCTCTATGAGATGATGGATGTTCACCAACCCTGCTGTGGTCATCATTTCACAGTACGTGTCAATCACACCGTCATGCCGTACACCTAAACAGTGATGTATGTCAACCATTCCTTAATAAAACTGGAATAATTATCGTCTAAGAAAAAAAAGAGGCTGCTCTAGCAGCCCAGTCTTCAGTGGTGGCCGTGATGACAGAGAGAAGGCCGTGGGATTGGGGAGGTCAAAGCAGCGGAACCTGCTGAGGTATTCAGAGAGACACCTGTGGGGAGGGAGAGGCAGCAGTGCCCCAAGGCTTCTGATTGAGCAGCACGGTGGTCAGTGGGGCTCTCGACCAGGAGGGGGTGTCATCAGGGGAGTGGCGGGTTTAGGATGATACAATTTCCGTTTTAAACATGTTCAGTTTATTTTTTTATTTGTTTCACATCCTTTAATTCACAACACCTGCTTTTATTTTATTTTACTTTATTTATTTTTTTGGCCATGCAGCATGCGGGATCCTAGTTCCCCGACCAGGGATCCAACCCGCGCCCCCTGCAGCAGAAGCGTGGAGTCTTAACTGCTGGACCACCAGGGAAGTCCCTAGACATGTTCAATTTAAATGACTGTGCAGCATCCCAACAGAATACCCGCTGCAGATGTGTGAATCCAGACCTCAGAAGAGTGGTCTGGCCTGGAGGTAGAAACTCAGTGTGTTCAGCATAAAAATGGTATTTATACCCATGAGAGTGTTTCACGTCACTGGGGAAGAGAGAGAAAGGAGGGGAGAGGGGGAAAGGAAAGTTACAGAAGAATAGAATTTTTATTTTTTTATATAGTTATTTCATTTACTTATTTTTGGCTGCGTTGGGTCTTTGTTGCGGCGCGCGGGCTTCTCACTGCAGTGGCTTCTCGTCGCGGAGCACGGGCTCTAGGTGCATGGGCTGCAGTACTCGCAGCACGCGGGCTTCAGTAGTTGTGGCACACGGGCTCAGTAGTTATGGCTCACGGGCTCAGTAGTTGTGGCTCGCAGGCTCCAGAGCACAGGCTCAGTAGTTGCGGCGCACAGGCTTAGTTGCTCCGCAGCAGGTGGGATCTTCCCGGACCAGGGCTTGAACCCGTGTCTCCTGCATCGGCAGGCGGATTCTCAACCACTGCACCACCAGGGAAGTCTCGAGAAGAACAGAATTTTTAAAAGAGAAAAAGACCCAGAAGCAAAGCTTAAGAATCCAGTATTTGGAGGTGGTCTGGGGTAGCAGGAGCCACGTAAAAGGAGCTGCCAAAGATGTAAAGGGAGAAGCACAGAAGCGAGGAGAGAGGAGAGGGTCTAGGGAGCGGTGGCCAGCTGAGCCGAGCGCTTCTGGAGGAGCTCCATCACAGAGCGCCTCTTCTTCCACCATTTCTGCCTCTCAACTAATTGGCCCTCCTTTAGAGCCCGGGGAGGACAGCCTGCCCCAAACTGCCGCTGTTAGAAATCAACAGTGACTCCTGTCTCTGTGTCCACATCTTTTCTCAGTCCTCATTCTCCTTGTTCTCCCTGAGCCTGTGGCATCAGGGCTCACCTGGTCCTCTGTGAAACTCTCTTCATTGAGTTTCCATTTCTGTAACCCATTCCCAGTCCTCCTACTTTTGAAAAACTATATTCTCCTCTGACTTTCCTTTCCCCTCCATCCCTTACATGTCTGTCTCCTGAGGAAGTGCCCTTGGCCCCTCCTTTGCACCCTTTGCAACCTCATTTCTTCACAGAGCTTAGAGTCACTCGGCGCCCTATTCCAAAACCCAGATTTCATGCCAACCTCAATCTCTCTCAAGACTCAAGCTCTCCTTCTTAATTCGTTGCTCAGACATTTCTAGATCAGCGTCATACTGATAGTTTAAAAACCCTCATTTGAAAGCCACTCGTCTTCTTTGCTCCAAACCCTCCTCTTTCTCATTATCATATTTCTATTTATGGGGCAATCATCTTCCCAGCTGAAACTTTCCAGTCATGTAGATTTCGTCTTCGCCTTCCTCTCAGACACGCTTCTAGTGAACTTCCTCAGCTCATCTCTTTACTCTCCACCCCGTCTTGTCCCACTCCCGCTGTTCCGGTTCAGTTGCCGCATCATTCTGCCACATCAGGCAGAACCTCGTCGGTCCTGGAGCGGAGCCAGGGCTTTGTTCTAAGGCACATGGGCAGCCCCTGGAGCACTTGACCATTGGGGAGACACGACCCAGGGATCATTTTTCAAAGACATTCCCTGGTCCAGCTTCAGCGTAGCTGGTTAGCCTCCTCTTCAGACCCACCGTGCTCCGGCCCAACTGAACACACGTTCCAGAACCCACGCTGTTTATTTCACTGCTGTGCAGCTGGTCACCTGTTTCCCCTCCCTAGATCACTCTATCATTTCTGCCTCTCAAAATATGACCCCTCCTTCAAAGCCTGGGTATGATGACATCTTCCCAACAAAGCTGCTTCAACACCCCCAAGCTGGTAATAATCTCTTCTTTGAATTTGAGCAGCAAATTATTTTGTGCATTCATCATAATACCTGTCTTGCCCTATTTTGCGTTTTAGTGATTTGTGTGTGACATATCTCCCCTCTTATGCCATAAATATCTCAGGACAGGAACTATGTACCTCTCATTTTTGTTCCACTACAAATCAAAACACATACCTTGCACACACCAGACCTTCAGGAAATGCCCGCCAAAGAAATAAATGGACAGCCTGAATTAACATAAACTATTGTTTTGTGTACTGATCCAGTCCCAAATCCATAGTGCTGTCGTTTCTGTATCATTGATGGTTATCCACTTACTATATAATATAGCCTTTCTTTGAATGCACTTAGAAAAGATGGAAAGCTGTGTTATAAGGGAGGAACAAGTATGTAGGCTATTCCCTTCCTTAAACAACGAGAAGTTCTGTTATGCGTCATGGAAAATTAAAGCACAGTAATAAAATGCACCAACCAGACTGGTTGAATGATGATTCAGTGGAAACGTTGCTTTGCCTCCTGTTCATGGGTCCTGACTTTCCTCTCAAGTACTTAAGCTGCACGTCCTATTTATTTTGTTTTTAGATAACATTGACCACAATCGGCTATGGAGACAAAACCCCCCTGACCTGGCTGGGAAGGCTGCTCTCTGCGGGCTTTGCACTCCTGGGCATTTCTTTCTTTGCACTTCCTGCTGTGAGTATCTTTGCAAAACTTAAGCACTTTCAGTTGGATCTTGGAGGTTTATTAGCACGAGCTTTCACAAAACCGTATGCCCTAGAACATAGCTCTATCGTTTACTAATATCATTTTTCTGATGTAATGTTGACTTTTCTATATGTATCTAGTTGGATAATTTACAAAATACAGTCTTCCCTCGGAGTCGCTTAACCCGAGAGTCTTACACCAGCTGAGGCTTTAGGACCAAATGATAATTCAGGCAACACCACCTCTCAGTCAGCAGGCTACTAGTACATTGAAACTATTTGTGAAGATTTAAAGATATCCTCCTCTTAAACTGACGGCTCCCATTAGGTGCATAAGGCGTGCACTCCTGAAGAGGTGCACGTGCCCACGTGGAGTAGCTACCTCTCAGGGCTACTTGAGTGAAAAGCGTACGAATTTAAAGGGTTTTTATTAATGTGTCAGATGATTTATTCCTTGTGTCATCATTGATTTTTGCTAACAACCAGTTTCCTATCAGAATGAAGAACACACTTCCCTTCTCTTAAGCTTCTGATTATTTTCTCCATACTGGATGAAGCCTTCCTTTCTGATTGTTTTATCCTCTTGTGTCTTCAAAGGCACTTGGTCAGAGTACTACCACTTGCCCCCCTCCCCAAGAGCTCGCTTTTGGCTTCCCCTTGTTGGAGAGGAGCCAACAAGCAGGACTGTGAGAGCCATGGCCGCTGTCCCGCTTAGGGAACAGCAGCCTCAGTCTTGCCCCAGACACAGGCTGGCTCATGTCACAGCCTCTGCTGCAGAGGCCCCGAGGCAGCCCTCCCAGGAGCCAAGGGGGTGGGGCCTTCAGCACCACAGCCTGTAGCTGCCGGGGCTCCCCCTCTGCCTGGGACCCCTTGTCCTTCCCGTGGCCAGAGCTCAGCTCCAGACTGACCAGCTGGTTGCACCCCGGACCAACCAAGGTCAGAGAAGGGTCCCAAGAGACCACGCGAGAGCACGGGCATCAGACCCCACTTTGAATCCGGGTTTGTCATGTGCTGCCCACATGTGACTGTGTTGGTTTGCTAGGGCTGCTGTAACAAGGCATCACGGACTGGTTGGCTTGACTTAAACAACAGAACTTTATTGTCTCATAGTTCTGGAGACTGGAAGTCCAGGATCATGGAGCTGGCAGGGCCGGTTCTTCCTGAGGGCTGCAAGGGAGGATGTGGCCAGGCCTCTTCCAGGGCTCATAGACGGCCGTCTGAGCACTGTGTCTTCACATCGTCTTCCCTCTGCCCATGTTTGTGTCTAGGTTTCCTCTTAAAAGGACACCAGGGGGGCTCCCCTGGTGGCTCAGGAGTTAAGAATCCGCCTGCCAGTGCAGGGAACACAGGTTCGAGCCCTGGTCCGGGAAGATCCCACTTGCTGCGGGGCAACTAAGCCCGTGCGCCACAACTACTGAGCCCACGTGCCACAACCACTGAAGCCTAGAGCCCGTGCTCCACAACAAGAGAAACCACCGCAATGAGAAGCCCACACACCGCAAGGAAGAGTAGCCCCCCTCGCCGCAACTAGAGAAAGCCCACGTGCAGCAAGGAAGACCCAACGCAGCCAAAAATAAACTAATTAATTAATTAATTTTATAAAAAGGACACCAGACATACTAGGTTAGGGCCCACCCTAATGAGCTCACTGTAACTTGATCACCTTCGTAAAGACCTTTTCTCCAAATAAGGTTACATCTGAGGTCCTGGTGATTAGGACTACAGCCTATGAATTTTGGACACAAGTCAGCCCGTAAGAGAAACCCTGAGTACACTTCTTTATCAGTATCAGGTAGGAAAAATTATCACACCCAGAGAAAATCTGTTAAGACCAATGACGTAAGTCAGGTGCTTGTCACAAAGAAAATTTTCATGATGTGTGTGTTTCCTGCTGTGACAAAACGAAGCAGAGTCCAAAAAGCGCCTCACTTGTCCAGAGTCAGCGGAATCTGGCAACTTCAGCAGTTCAGACCAGAATTCAATTCTCTGCCCAGCAATTCAGTGGGCAGAGACCCACTCAATAACCAGATTCCCTACAGGAGAATACCTTTAGAAACAGTAAAATGTAGTCTTGCGCTCTTTTCCCAAAATGATGGCACAAAAGATCTGCCTCTGTTGTGTTTATACTTATCCTGAGGCCACACGTATAACAACCTGTGTGATCCCTCGAAGAACTACAGGCAGGGAAGGAGGCCCCCTTCCGGGCTGTTCCCCGCTCTGGGCTGTTCCCATGGGCACCCATGTATGTGCCGTCCTCCCAGGAGAGCCTCGAGCCTCGTTCATAACCTTTGCTTAATTTAGAGAAAAATCTGGTAAACTGAGCTCTGTGCTTTCACACCTCTGAGGATTATAGACAGCAATGTAGAAGTACGGTGCTAGAACACACATTAGACCAGGAAGAGGTAACAGCAAGAGAGGGAAAAGAAAAGGGTAAGAAGTGAGCAGACATAAGTGTTCAAAGGTGAAAAGTACCTGGGCCACTTGGCCTGAAGGTCAGCCCACCTCAGTTAGACCCCCTGACTCCATCCTGAGACCATGGACCATCACAGGACGTTCAGCTGTGTGGCTCTTAGGTTAAGGGTCAGAGACTAAATGGCCATTCTTGTAAAGGTTTCCCAATAAAGTGATTACAATGTTGTATGCAAATTAAATTAATACATGTTGGAGATCTGAACGTCTTGCTTGCATAGAACACGCCCTAACAGTGCCAAGCAAAGTAGACTTCACCATGGATCTTTTTACTGCAGCCTCACGTTAGGTGCTGAGTTCTTACTTGAATGAAAGACTCAGTGGCTCCCGCATACTTTTAAATAAAACAAGGTGGCTGGAAATGCCGTTATGTCTTGTGCACCCGCGGGCTGGCAGGGGTGTCGGATTGAAATTAGGAGAACATGTTGGCATTTTGCTAAGAAAAGTCAGAGGTGGATTGTGGCCCATCCCTGTTTGAGGTCCTTCTACCCAGGAAACCGAGGACCAAGAAAGAGAAGCTCCTTTCCCCATCTTTTCCTCAAAGCAGAAGGACTCTCGCACACATCACAGAGTCACACGGACCAGCAACTCCACCAGGGGTCCCCTTCCCTGAGACCCCTGCCCAACCTTGCCCTGCGGGGCAGGCCTTTCTCCACCTGCGGAAGCCCCTTACCTCCTGCTGAGAGGATCTTTCTGTCTAGCCTGTTCACCAAGTGCAGGACTGGAGGGTACAGATAGGCTCTTCTAATCTGGAAGGGAGTATGTTTTAACTATAATTAAACAAGGGATAAATATTTTAAATACTGACCAATACGTGTTTCCTTTTTATTTGGTGTTTATGTAGCACTTCTAAAACTTAAAACCTCAAAATTTAAGTTATCTGATCTTAGGAAATGAATTAAGACAAAAGTCAATTTCTGAGACTTTGTATCTATCAGTATGGATACTGGAAGGAATAGCACATAGGTTATATTTACATGTATATACTTACATAACTTACAGGATATATTTATATGTAACATAACAGGCTTTATTTTACCAGCCTTGTGTTTCTGTTTCTGAGCTGGGAACGGAGGGAGGTGGGGCAGGATTGGACAGCAGCCGTAAGAAGACGACGAGCAGAGCTAGTGCAGTGACTGCTGTAATCGACAGTCTGGCTCAGGAGACATGCAGCCGACATTTGCCATCTACTAGCGAATGTTTCTAAGCACTGCCAACGTGATTTTCACCACATTTTAGTTTGTTTGGCAGGTGCTAAGTTTGTGCTATGTAGGGCCTGGCCTGTCTTCATTTTCCAAAAGGGATCTAACTCTGAACTTCATATTTACATAATGAATGCTCAAAAATGGTAGCTATTGCTGCTAATTCAATGCCTACAAAATCTAAATTATGCTTCCTGTGAGTGGATTATACACATCTATGCATATAATATGAATACATAATATACATAATATAAATATATGCTATAAATTCTGCTGTTTCGTAGTCTCTTGCATGTTTAAACTTCATGAAAAATGACATTAAAAGGAAAATACTTAAACTTTTCCTTAATGCTGTTAAGGAGCAGCAAGAAATTCGGGAGTTATACGTAACTAAGAGTTGATTTGGATTTGCAAACAGAACGCCATTTTTGTAACCTCTGAATGGAGGGAGATATTGTCTAAATCTACAAATAAGACCCTATAGACCAGGTGTTCGTAGAGCTTGGTGTGTTCAGTCACAGCCTGGATGAGGTGAGGACCTCAGGCTGCACGGCACAGTCACTAGGGGAGTGAGACGGAACAGACCTCAGACGCCATCCCTCATCTCACAGCGCAGCCCCTCATCCTGACCGATGGGGGAGTCGGTCGCTGCTCATTAATAACAAGACTGTCGTCGTGTAACTGCATTTTAAACAGAATTGTGTTCTTTATTATCTGGTCATTGTCACAGAGGTACTCAGAATTGTGGAATCGCAGGATGAGAAGGAAGGTTAAAGGTTACCTAGAGCCCCAAAATGTCCTCGCCAAGTTTTCATCCACTGAGACCTAACACCTCCCAAGGACTAGACCCATCACCCCTTTGAGCAGCCTGTACTATCTTTGAGTGACTTCAAACATGTGAAGAAAAGGAAAATAGGCAATCCTTACCTGTGGCAAATACTGACTTAGAGCTTATAAAATGCCCGGCTCTATGTAACCTAAGGGTTAGACTCCTTGAAGTTTAATAAGAAGCTAATAATTTATAGCTAGCAACTAAAATCCCAGACTTGAAAGCAGAGGGGCTCCGCGTCCCACACCAATAAAGTGGAGGCTTAGAGACAAAGCCCAGAGACTGAACTGAGCAAACTCCAAAGGCAGCCTCAACTCAAGGGTGAGACGAAGCATCTTGATTCCACAAATTTAGACCAAAGCAAACTGAAAAGAGGGGCCATATTTCGGCAGATGGAGACAGCAGAAGGAAGCAAACCAGCAAAAGCTAGCATAAACCCAGAAGGGACTGCTCACCTACCAACCCCCAGATCTGACAGGTGAGCCAGGGCCAGGAAGGCAAGCCAGGCTCAGAGTGTGCCGTTAAGACTCAGGTAGACAAGAAGGTGCTTTGCATCGACCTGTGCTCTTGTCTTTACTGGACAGACACGCAACATGGCAAACCTTCGACATCTCCAAAACTGAGTGTGTGTCTCATCTGGACAGCTGTCCTTCCCCACTGTTACTTTCCTGTGGTAGGTGTAGAATTATAGCATCGCTGAGGATTAACCTCGAACACTCCGTCCCCCACCATTTCGTGAATGGAAAGTATAAAATCAGGTAGTGTCATCAAAGTGCTAGGAAAGCTCCCATGTCCACATCCACGAGACAGTAACAGCCCCAAGTTCTAATCCCCCTCTGTCCACCACTGGATAGGACCATTCTCTCTGACTTAGGCGTAAAGAAATGCCACAGAGAAGGCCACGCAAAAACATTTTTTAAAATAGTGATTTTTATTTGGAATTGTGGTGGCTCCTCTTACCCCGTGAGAGACCGTAGGGCCTGGTGACTTCCGGAAGGGCAGATGTCCTTCTGCTTCCTGCCCAGCGGCTTGCCGTTGGCCGACGTGTTATAGTAGAGGAAATCGTGTTTGTTTTAATGAGTTTAGGGACAGGTTGCCTACTGTTCGCCTTTTCACAGACTCTTCTTAGAGGGTTTTTTTAAATACTTGTATTATTTAATGGTGTTTGGGGGAAAGAAGTTTTCAGCGCTATTTCCGTATTTTGTTGCAGGGCATTCTTGGCTCAGGTTTTGCATTAAAAGTACAAGAACAGCACCGCCAGAAGCACTTTGAGAAAAGAAGGAACCCAGCTGCCAGCCTCATCCAGGTAAACGTCAGTGTACCGGGAAGACGGCAACACCTGTTTCTGCAGGCGCCGGGTCGTGGGCCGGTCCCTCTGTGCCCTTGCTTAGGGGAGCTGCTCTTTGGTTTTGTTTTTAAAAGCGAAGCTGGAACTTAATGTACAGCCTTAGATTTGGTCAAGTGCTCCCCACTCCCAAACAGAAAAAAATACTATGTATTTTCAGCCAGTGGTCCACACTTTGTTTGGATTAACTAACGGCAGCAGCAGAGCCATGCCGGGGTCAGCAGTTGCGTCGCTCCTGGGATGACCTAGTATGTGTCATGCATTACTTGGTGAAAGATCATTGCTCATTCAGTGATGGAGCAGAACACAGTATCAGTGCCTGCCTTGCAGTTACCGTCTGCTGCCCGATGTGTGCCGCCATTCTGAGGAACAACGTATTTGTTTAGAATGTCAGGGTTTAGTACTCGTGGAATCACTTTTAATGCCACCTAGAGCAATAACCGGAAATTCTTATTTTAAGAGCCGGAATTATGGAATACATCGATGTTTGAGCGTATGAAGTAGTAAGCATATTGTTTGAAGCTAACTCATAATACATAGGTTGTTCAGCATTTAATCTTTGTTTCAGTAACTCAGGATTTGCTTCAGCAGTAAAAGGAACGCTTCTCCTTCTGTCATCCATACCTTTTGGGGGTAGAGCCACCCTAGAATCACAAAATATGTTTTCCTCTAGATCCATGCTGTGAGTTCGTATTTAATTATAGACAAGATGATTATGTAACATCCCTCCATGCCAGGCAGCGGATGCCCCAGACCTGCAGAACCAGAGGGCTCAGGGCGGTGACTGAGGTTCCTGCTACAGTAGCAGGCCCGTTGTTCCCACGCACCTTGCAGGTTCCAGTCGGGGGTGGAGGGCAGCAACCACGACACAAGACTCCGCAGCCTCTGCCTGTGGCCACAGGGTGGGGGGAGGCGGGGAGGGGCTACATCGGGAAGGAGACCCCTTTGTATCTGTGACTAAATGAGGGTGTTAGTGTTTAGAGCAAACTGTTCTGTGACTCCTGACCATTGCGCATCACGTGTAATGCACACCACTGAGAGGCTCTTGTTTTAAAAGTTCCGGGTTTTAAAGGGGCGCCAAAGATAAAGTAAACTTTGTTTTCCTGAAGGAAAGATCCCTGAGTCATAGGAGTTTAAGATCTGAGGCCGAATGACAGGGCCATGACAGGGACGTCACGCACGCCAGGGTGCACACAAAATGCCCCAACAGAGAGCCTCCACCCTTTGGCGCTTCTTAACTGCTTATGAGGTGTCCCCATACTTCTGTTTTCGTCTTTCAGTTGCTCTTTAACGTATTCATCTTTCAGTTCTGGAAGAATGCTTTCCACCTGTGAATGCAGAGCTACTCCCTGGGTTCCTTGCATGCATTCGGGCAGCAAGCCCTGTCCACACAGGGAACCAGTGGTACACCTTACACATACCTAGGCTGCCTGCTCTCAGGAGCGTGACCGTGCTGTTGGCATGGATAAAGTTCAAACTTATTTAATATCCTCGCGAAATTGTTTACTAGCTTTTTGTACTGTATGTTTTCTCAATCAGCATGTACTCAAAGTACAACCACTTCTGTGTACAGATCCTCGATATTTCTGGGTATAAAAGGGGACTGCATCAAAAAAATCTTAGACCATCGGCCATCCTGTTGGAAAGTGAGCCCTTTGAGGAATTTCTGAGGCGTGGATCCCTTGTGATGACACAGAGCTTCCAGCTCTGCTGCCCAGAACAGTTGCCAAGAGCTGCAGGTGGCTGTTTACATTTAGAAATTCAATTCCTGGGAGGCCCAGCCACGTCTCAGGTGTTCAGTAGCTATACACGGCTACTGGCTATCCTACTGCACAAGACAGATACAGAGAATAATAGGAGGAACTTTCTGATCTATCTCATCATTATTAACTACCAAATTGTGCCCCAAAAAAAAAAAATTTCCAATTGAACGTGAAAACAGATTACCATTCCTCCAGGCAGTCTTTGGACCCAGAGGCATTTATACCAACAGCCTTTGGCCAACAGCCAAAGCAAGGCAAGGCCTTCCTGAGCCATAAAAAGTGAAGAGGCTGATTGTAAAGTTTACTTAAAGATCTAGATTTTTATTTTATGGAACTGAGTTATGTAATATATATTGTGATCAATAATTGAACTTGTACCAAGGTAGGTAACTGTGGAGTGAAATCATTAATTTTTTTTTTACTTAAAACTCTAACTTATGTGTTGTTCTGAACAAAAAAGAATATAAAATGAAAGGCTTGAAACGTTCAAGCATACCTTTAAATCTAATCATAGTTTCATTAATTACCAATTTAAAAAGTGATTGAAAAAAAAAAAAAGTGATTGTTCCTCTGTCCAAATGCAATTTATTAGACATAAGAATAATGATATAATTATTAAATGTATTCATTGTTTTTCCTTGCTGTAACCCATAGCCGGAAGTCAGGACTTTAAGCTTTAGATTATAGATGTTTATTTCAAGGATGCTTTAGATTGAACGACAAGCCTCATTTGCTGATCCATGCATTTTCTTACCCAATAAAACTGCCTTGGTTTGCTGATCACAAAGCATCAAGACCAAGGCCAGTCTCGTTTGTTTGGAGCCAGAGCCGCTGTCTTTGTAAAGGGCGCTGGAGATGCCCAGATTGCTTTGTCGTTCAGTCGGTGAGACAACTAAATTAACCAGCATTTCAGGGTTTTAGGGAAAAGTTTGAAACGCCAGCAGCTTGCAGTAAACTCAGTTGTGTCAACATCTTCGCATGATTCATTTACATTAACTTTTCCTTTCAAGCGGAGCAGTCTAGGAAAAGAAAGCAGCCCTCAGTAACGCTGTGGATACGTGCCCCAATGTCACCACTTTTATTGATAATGCCTAAGACTTGCGAAGTGCTTCTGTTCACAAGTGTGCAGAGTGTTTCTGCTACATTATGTCCCTTGATCCCCAGGACAAGCCTAGGGACTTGGCAAGAGGTAGGACTCACGTCCCTGGTGTCGGACTCTGAATCCAGCACTCGAAGCCTCATATATACATCACTGAAGCCTGGGGATTAGCATTTCAAGATCCTTCAGAAGTTCTGTGTGAGCGGTTTCCTTCTAGAGAGGCTGGTCCAGTTCAGGGTGGAGCCAGGGTGCTTTATTGGAAACAGAAACAGGGGAATTAAGTACAAGTGTGTGAAATGAATGCTGACAGGTGGGCTTATTTTCCTGAGGGAAGAGAGTAGAAGATGCTGCTCTGGGGAAATTAGTTGTCCCAAAAGAAAAACAAATTATGTATTGAAACTTCAGCTTCCTCTAGTGAAAGAACTGAGCCTTCCAAAGTGAGGCCACTAAAATAAACTCAAGCCACATATACAGAGCTTATACAGCCTTTGTAGTAATGCTTTAATCATGAATAAGGACAGATTCAGAAAAGAAAAATTCCTAGATGTGGAAAACATGAGAGCAGAAAAAGAAGAAAACAGAAAAGGAGATAAAACTGTGAAAATCTCCCCCAAAATAGAATAAAAAGACAGAGATGGAAAATAAAACAAAAAACAGTAGGAAAATTGGATGACACTTCCAGGAGATCAAATATTCAGCCAACAGAAGTACCTCAAAAAGAATACAGGGAAACTAAGTGTGGAATTTTATCAAATAATTATTATATTCTGGTTCCCCAAAAATGAAGGGCAGGAGGGGCCACAGTAAAAGGCCCCCCAAGGACCCAGCACTGTGAACAAAAAGCTTCACACTGAGGACGCCCTTGTGAAATATGAGAACTCCTGAAAGAAAGGGGATCCTAAATGCTTTCTGAGCAGAACATACCCAAAGGGTCCAGAATCTGGATTGCATGGATTTCTCATTAGTAACCTTAAAATTAGAAGAAGACAGTGGAACAATACTTTCAAAATTATGGAGGAAAATTATCTCCAACCTAGAATTCTATATTCAGCCAAATTATTCATGGCATATGGGAGTAACATGAAGACTCTTTCAGATATGCAAAACCTCAAAACTTACCTACCATTTCCCCATACTCAGGAAGCTAATATCACATCTTCTTTATCAATGCATCTACCGATGGGCACTTGGGTTGCTTCCGTGTCTTGGCTGTTGTGAATCATGCTGCAGTGGCCATGGGGGTGCAGATATCTTGTTTTCATTTCCTTTGGATATATACGCAGAAGTGGGACTGCTGGATTATATGGCTGTTGTATTTGTAATTTTCTGAGGAGCCTCCATGCTGTTTTCCCTTGCAGTGTATATACACAGTGGAATATTATTCAACCATGAGAAAGAAAAAGTTGCTATTTGCAACACACGGATGGACCTTGTTATTATGCAGAGTGAGAGAACCAGACAGAGACAGACAGCTATTGCATGGTCTCACTTAATGTAGAATCTAAAAAAATCTTTTAAGTCAACCTCCTAGAAACAGAAGCAAAAAGTGGTTGCCAGGAGCTGGAAGGTGGGGGAAATAGGGTAAAAGGGTACAAACTTTCACTATGAGATGAATATGCCCTGAGGCTGTAATGTGAAACGTGGTGACTATAGTTGATAACAGTGTTGTATAATTGAAATCTTCTAAGACTGTAGAACTTAAATGTGCTCACACCAAGAATAGGTACATGTATATGTATAACTGAATCACTTTGCTGTACACCTGACACTATCACAACATTGTTAATCAACTATACTCCAATATAGCAATAAAATAAAAAGTCTTTAACAATGCATTTCAAAAAAAAACCCAAAACAAACAAGCAAAATGTTCTCACACCAAAAAACAAACAAGCAAATAAATACGTGAGGTGATGGATGTGTTAATTACCTAGATGGGGGGAACCCTTTCATAATGTGTACATATATTAAATCACCATGATGTAAGCTTAGAAGATCTCACAACTGTATATAGGTCAGTTATACCTCAATAAAGCTGAAATGGAAAAAAAGGAAAAGAAAAAGAAAAACAGGAGAAGCTACTTGGGTAGAATTAATCCTCCAAAACAAAGAGATGAACCCAGAAAGGAAGGAGACGTGGTGTCCCGGGAACAAGAGATCCCACCCAAGGAGGAGTGAGGGGACCTCCAGGCTGTTGCTGAGGGGCAGTCCCAGGGCCAGAGATGCAGGGCCGGAGAGCAGAGAGCCGGAGGGAGGGCGGCAAGGAGACACAGCTTTCGTGATGTATCTGACAAGTGAGATTTTAGAGTTCTGTTGGAGAGTTCAGGAATGTTTTCCTCCTAGGTACATAAAGGCAAATCAAGACATTAAAACAGGGCAATACTAGCTCCAAGAAAAACCAAAATAAATTACACGGGAAAGAAAAAGGTAGTCAGTGGTACATCACATTGCTAAGCTGGGAACAGTAGTTATGGGGTCAAAGTAATGCAAACACTCAGTAGTGTTCACTAACTAAACACTTAACTAAAAGTTAACTAAAATTAACTAAAAACTGTTGGTAGGATGAGATCGGGGAAGATGTGTACATGGCTATGTCACTATCTTCCATGGTAAGAAAATGAAAAACCCCAAAGAAATATGAGAACAATCCTTAAAAATAAGGATTCTTAAAATTAGAAACAGAAGCTATAAAAGTTGAAGGGGTTGCCACTGAGGAACAAAAATGAGTGAGAAGTAAAGTGGGGAAAGCGATATTACTGGTTTTCACCCTAAACCTTTTCATTCTCCGGCTTCTTAAATTCTGTACCTTGAAAAACATCATTCCATGTTGGTTCTACCTTTGGATGCTCAGCTGGAATTAAGGTTTCCAGAAAGGGTCAAATGCGCCATAGCTGTAACGCTGCAGACGATGCAGACTAAATACCCCCTGAGACGTAACTATACCGACATTGCGCTTATAGCTCTAGACCAAAGTGTGAACTTGTTCGGCTGCCTTGAGCACCAGGGTCGCAGAGTGAGTGGTGAATTTGGCTTTCCTGTTGCTTTTTGGTGACTTTTCCTTGGGAGTGTGTGTGCCATGTAAATGAAATCCCTCTGGGCACTTTCTCTCGCCAACCACTGTGTGATTTTAGCTTCAAGTAGAGGAACGTCGGCTCCTCAATCACATGGTTGTGGCCTTGGGTTCAGCTTCCAGAAGCTGAGGGAGAGCTGAGGCCAGGACAGAGTGATTAGAGGGTGAGAATAATAGGTACCTGCTCCACTGCCACTCGACTGTGGACTGGTATCAGCCCCGAGGGAGATGCCACTTGCCCTCTGCTCCTAATGAAGGGAATAAGAGCTTAGCTGTTGAGATCAATGTGATAGAAAAAGAGCAAGAAGCCAGATCTCATTGTTAAGAAAATTTTCAATTTTCTAAGCGTGGCCACTTCTGCCCCCCGTTCTTTATAACTTTGTCAGGTAATGTCTTGGTCCCATTTTTTGTCGTATTGTTGTTTGGGATTTTTTTCCACTGATATCTAATAATGCCCAGGCCTGCTGTGTGCTTCTCACTTCTACGTGAGTCCTGCCTCCACAGTACCCAAGTCCACATATATCTGATGCCTTCTATTAAAGTTGTTTAATTAAAGCAGCACTGGCGGGGCTCTGGCCTTCACTACAGAAGAAGCTGCGATAATAAACCCATGTGTCTTTATTGATTACTCTGAATCACTCTGTAGATTGTGAGTGCACAGCACTTGCCAAAACTAACATTTCAGGATGATACGATGACAACTGCTTTGTTCTCTGTAAGATGCTAAGATGCTTAGCGTACGTTCTGAGGGATTTGTAGGTTCAGCCAACGTGAGCCGTGTGATGAAGGCTCCAGGCAAGGAAGCTGGCTTCAATTATTTAAACCTTCCTTAATAATATAAAAACCCTCAGGTCCTACCATATATCTTCCTAGTTTTTTATATCACTTCTTGAACATCTTATTGAAGTATAAGGTACGTAGGGAATGCAGCACAGACCCTAGAAAACTGCGCTGCCGTTGTCACCAGCAGCCGGAGAAAGAAGCAGATGGTGGTCAGCACCCCATGCACCCTCGCTCCACCTCTGCCCCTGGGGGAGCCGCCCCGCTGCCTTCTAACTGCGGGGATTGGTTTCCCTGCTTTTGTCCTTTATGGAAGTGGCGTCACGCCACAGGCACTCTTTTGTGTCTTGTCCCTCTCACGCAGCAGTATTCGTGTAAAGCTCGTCCACACTGTTGGGTGTAGTTACAGTGGACTGGTTCCCGTGTGCTGATCCACTGTGCTAGCAGTCCACAGCTCACCCATGTATGGGCCTGTGGACGGCTGCTTGAGCATTTCCAACTTTGGTTTATTAGGAGTACTGCTGTTTAGACACAGAAAACAAACCTATGGTTACCAAAGGGGAAAGGTACGGGGGAGGGATAAATTAGGAGTCCGGTATTAACATGTACACACTACTATATATAAAATGACCAACAAGGACCTACTGTATAGCACAGGGAACTCTACTCAATACTCTGTAATTGTCTATAAGGGAAAAGAATCTGAAAAAGAATAGATATATGTATATGTATAACGGAATCACTTTGCTGTACACCTGAAACTAACACAACATTGTAAATCAACTATACTCCAATATTTTAAAAAAAAAAAAAAAAAGGGTAGTGCTGTTTAGACTCACAGATGGAGAGAACAACTTAGTGGTTACCAGTGGGGAGAGGGAAGAGGAAGGGGCAAGGTAGGGGTCGGGGATTAAGAGGTGCAAACTATTATGTATAAAATAAATAAGCTACAAAAATATATTGTACAACATGGGGATTACAGCCAATATAACTATAAATGGAGTATAACCTTTAAAAATTGTGACTTTATTGTATACCTGTAACTTATATTGTACACCAACTATACTTCAGTAAGTAAACAAATAAGAAAATTCATATTAAGATTTTAAAAACAGAGTAGTGCTGTTTTGAACATTATAGTACACATCTTTTGATGAGCTTGTGTAAGCATATTTGTTGAGTATACATGCAGGAGTGTGTAGCTGTATCATAGGGTATATATACTTCAGCTCTAATAGATACAGCCAAAGTTTTCCAAATTAGTTATGTCAGTTTTTAACTCTTTTTTCTGCACACGCATATTCAATGTATTGTCAGGGAAAGGAATATTATTAGGTCACTGTTTTCTTCATTGTAGCTTTCAAAATCATGAATGATGGTAAGACAGCAGGGGCATGACCTGTTTATATGAATTAATCACACAAAATAGAATGTTTTGATTTATGAATTATAGTAAAAATGTTCCTCTCAGGAGAGTGGCGTAAACACTTGGTCACTAGAGATGTTTGCAGACCTATTGTAAAGGAAGAGATTCACCAAAATCTCTATGGAAAGTAAGTTCAGGCAACCTCTGAAATGGACAGTTGAGAGGGACGCTGCTCCAACAACGGTCACCCAGCAAAGGACCGTGGAGGGATTCTAAGACCAAGAGCCAGGCAACCTGAGGTGGGGTCTCACCTCTGCCAGCCTTGTGTTAACCTCCTAATGTATCTGAGCCTTTAGTTTCTCTTCTACACAATAAGGGTCATAAGGGTCTTCATCCACACTGTGGGGATTACATGAAAACACTTTGTGTTATATATATATCAGGTATAATTATATGACGTACACAGAGCTTGTGTTTCACATCAGAGAGCTACAAACGTGTCCTTAGACCCCAGCATTAACTTCTTACGTGCTTTCGGATTATATTCCTGAGAATACGTTTCCCCACCTTGTTTTAGGCCTGCCTCTTATCTCCACCTTCATGGTTAGCCTTAGAAGTACCACATGGTTCAACCGCAGGGGATTTCACTACATCATTAACATGCCCTGGTGGTCATCAGTTTACTAGCTAATTCACTAGTTGCCTTATGGATTTCCAGGGTCCTTTGCCTCTATCTTACAAGTGGTGATTAAGGGCACGCAGTGGCTCCCGGGATGCACAGTCAGTCCCACTTGGGTAGCTCACCTCCGACGTCTCTCCCTAACCAATCCCAAAACCCCTCTGTGTTATGCTTTGTGGTACTTCTGCTTCTGATGTGAGTTATTTTGAAAAGCAGTTCTATGGATGTGGTGGAGCGTATTTCACAGCCAGGCGAAAACACCCAAGCCTCTTCACCCTTCGGACATTTATCAGGGCTGAACATGGCAAGGAAAAGATGCTTAATCTGTATTAATTTACTAATCTCCCTTTTCATTGCATTCTCTCTCCTCCTCTCTCTTGTTTTTCTTTCTTATGTCCCCGCGTATGCCGCGTGCAGTGCGTTTGGCGTAGTTATGCAGCCGACGAGAAATCTGTCTCCATTGCAACCTGGAAGCCGCACCTGAAGGCCTTGCACACCTGCAGCCCCACCAAGTAGGTGTCAGTGCGACAGTCGGGGCTGTAGTCGCGTTTCCTTAAGTTTGTAAAGCAAACCACACATGCACACACACACGCACACACGCACACACGCATGCACAGGTGTCGATTCGGGGCTTGTCTTATTCTCTGTTGCTCTTTGAAAGATTCAAAGCTGTTTGGTAACAGCTCAGGTGCAAAACTAAATGGATTCTGTATCATTCCTCACCATCCACAGACTGGGCTTAAATATGAAAAGAATCTGAACTCTATAGAGATTTATTTTTACTATTTCATGCTTATTTTCTAATATGTCATTTCGTAAAGCCCACCAGAATTCCTCAGGTAAGTGCCTTGGTTCTTGAAAAACAATGACTGTTTAATGACCATCCCCTGACCCCAGGCGGGGCTGCTTGGGGAGCATCACGTCTGCACATTTAAGTCCCTTAAGGTCATTTCTCCTCAGGATCCCCTTACAGGATGGGCCTTGAGCTTTCATTTGCAGATTAAACCAACATCAGCAGCGAAAGGAGAGATGAGGTGGAGTACAGTGAGGTGACAGGACCACTCAGAGTACAGCTTGGAATTAACATTCCAAATTTTAAAGAGATGTTACTTCCATTCACATTTCATTGGCCGAAGCAGGTCACCCAGCTGTGCTTCAGCTCGGGGGTAGTGGGGGGGGACCAGGAGGGAGGTGCAGCCCCCCTGTGCCTAGAGAGGAGGGGGCTGGAAAGGTCGTGCACAGGCCTGACGATTGCCGCAGCATCTTTAATTCCCAAACAGTCCTTAGTCCCAGAAGCCTGGACTCCAGTTCAGCTCGCAGACTAAACCGTAATCACCATTTAATGAAAGAAATCCTCAGTGAAACACGAAAAGCAAGTAAGCCAGGGGCGGCCCCCCGTGAGTCATCCGCTGGACCAGTAGTCGGTCCCCCGGGTTGTGCAGAGTTCTCGGACGGCTCAGCTGACTTCGTGCGTTTGAGCACCTGCTCTTTCCTTTCAGGGCCCATCAAGGCCTTAGTCCCAGTGGCTTCACGGGATTGGAGGCAGCTGACTAGTGTGACTCAGAGAAACCTCTTCTTACCAAAGTGCAAGAGAACCAGCCGGGGAGGCCCTCACGGCCGGTTCTCCGGAGCCGCCGCCTCCAAGGAGGTCTGCGGGGCCATCGTGAACTCACGGGATCTGTCATTTTGCTTCCCTGCCCAGCCCTGGGCCTTGGCTTCCCATCCACAAGGCGAAGGACCAGAGCTGGCCAAGGTCACTTCTGATCCTATGGGACACACCTCCTAGAGGTCAGGGTCAAACCTGCGCCAGCACCTGCGACAGAGATTCATTGACCCCAGGGTGTTAGAGCGGGTGCGGCCTAGTGTACATATGGATGAGAAGTCGCTTTGCATTTAGATCTTATAATGTAGGGAAATTCCCTTTTTGAGAATTAGACTCTAAGGTGTAGTATTTTAAAACAAAAAGGGAATATAACTCGTGTGCCATCTGTTCCTTGAGGGTATGAATCAAAAACGGGAACTGTATGGAAATTGTACGTCTCGTCTTTATGAAGGTTGCTAGGTAATGTGTAAAAAGGCTAGTGGGGAAAAAAACAAACAAAGAAAGTTCCCAAGTGACAGGAGAGCGTGGGCTATTATTTTATTATATGTGATTATTTGGCTTCCCACTTCCTGCAGTTTTTGGATTAAAAGTCATCCTGCAGCCTGGAAAAACTATTCAATAATGAGTCAGATTCTCCCAGTGCATAAACTATTCTTTTACTCCCGTAATTCTCTCTTTTCTCTGTTGTTTTCCCTGTTTCTACTGGGGACGGGGGTGGAGGAACGTGTATGCGGACACCTGCCTCCATCCTGTCCCTCTGTAGCTACCAGGCCTCAGCCCCACTCCCCTCTCCCTGCGCCCTGCTTAGCCTCTGGGTCTCGGCCTTGTTTACTGAGGAACACGGCTGTTTGCCCAGGAGTGACAAGCAGTGTCCCTGCACCTCTCCCTTCAGCCATAGTTTGCTGTTCCAAACCGCAGTGATTCTTAATCTTTGTTGTTCTTTGTTAAACCATTAAGAACATGGTGGTAATCATGGACTCTTTCCCAAGAAAAATATTCAATGCATAAAAAATCAAAACTCTGCCTACAAATTTTAATGTATTCACAAACTCCCTGAAGCCAAGTTCAGAACCTTTGCTCTGGAAGCAATCCCGCTTTAATCAAATGTGTAGGTTTGAGGAGAATAATTTACAATGACTTAGAGGGTTCGTTTTACATTTATAACTAACTGGCTTAGCGAGTGCAGGGTGATACAGTAAGAAATAGACCAAAACTTCTTCCTTACATCGTGTATTTCCTATAACGTTCGGAGTTGAAGAACTTCTGAAGGGAAAGATCGTTCACTCATCCGTGCGTTCGTGCAGTCAGCGCTCATTGAGCACAGTCAGAGAGGAAAACTTTCCCTCTGCCCTTCTGGGTTCTTCTCTCTGGTCTAAGAATTAAATTGACATGAGACAGATAAACAGGAGAAAATCAAACAAGAGTTTGATAACAGGTATACACGGGAGAATCCCAGGAAAACTGAGTAATCCCCCCACATGGGCAAAACCCTCCCGTTAAACACCATCTTCAGCTAAAGACAAAGGAGGATGTTGCGGGTGCTTGTTTGGGACTCAGAGGGGAGAAGGGCAGTTCACACGGGGATGAGGAAGCGGGTGTTTCCTGGGCCAGAAGAGAAAAGGGACAGAGTCCCTCCGATGGAGACACTCTCACCTCCAGGCCCTGCTGAGTCCCCACCACGCCTGGCCCATATTCCTTACAGACCTCTCTGGTGACAGCTCTATTCAGGGGCAACAGGCACTTTACCTCAATTCTTTCAGGCAGTTAAGGGAGAGAGAAGAAAAACTTCCTGAGACTTCTGTCTCTTAAAAATAATTAGCCTGAATTTATTCTCATGCCAAAGAGACACACTTTGGGGTGCCAGATTTTTGGGGTGCCACATTCTGCTCCCTACAGCACCGACTGTGTGCACAGCACTGTTCCAGGCACAGGGAATGCACCAGTGGAGGAGAAAAACCAACAGAATCCCAGGCCTCGGGGAGTGTATATTCAAGAGATAATAGGAAGAGACAGTAAAAATAAATAAGCAAAATATATAATAGAGTAGATGATGGTAAGTGCTAAAGAGAAAAGTAAAGTAGGGAAGGAATTGGGGGAGCGTTCGGGGCTGCAATTTTAAACAGCTGGTCAGGGAAGAGATTGTATTACCAAAAGCAGAAGCAGCATCGATGACATTATCAGTAAAAACACCCACCCGTGCTCTCGTCCCCCCAGTTTAGAGATACAGTGGGGTGCACTGACTGCACGTGCTCATCCCAGGGAATAGGGTGGTGTGACAGCCGTGCGGGGTGCGAGAGGCCATGCTGCTCAGACCTGCTGGACACTCTCCTTTCTGGTCCAGTTCGTCTCTCACGTGCACTTTGGAGGTCTTAGCAGTTGCTATTTCCAAGTTTTGTTTTAACAACAGAAGGATTTAGAGAAGGAACTCACTTCTTGATTTTCATCTCAAAGGGAGTGAAGGCTATGCAGGGGTGAAGCACAGGTAAATGTGCTATTCTGGGAAATGAGTCAGATCGTCTGTAAAGCTTCAAGGAGTCGTCAGGCTCCTAGGGTGCCACGTGGTACCTTAGGGTTAGAATTCAGAGATTACCAACTCCAGCACCTTCAGTTTATTCATAAGAGCACCGAGACCCACAAGAAAGCGAGACTCCCGCCCAAGGACACAGCGCATTTGCCAAGAGCGGGGACCCCATGCCATGTTGCGTAGACCTGAACGTGCCCAAGTGGCTTATTAGACAGACCACCCAACACTGAGCTAGGTTGTCTGTGTGCCTGATGTCCTGCAAGGGCATTCATACTTTGTACAGCACAAAAACAAAATCTGCCCCAACAAGGGACAGAGACACAAGACCACGGTCACAGATGAACTAACCCAGATTGAGTCTGCCTGAACCACAGGGACTCCAGCTTCAGCACAACCCGCACCACCCTTCTAACGGTCTCTGCTGATGCCGGTTAGACCAGAACCACTTTGCCTAAACCATGGGTAACTTAGGCTGATGAAGAGTCTATAGTTTTTGGTCACATGCGGGCAGTATTGGTGCTGTGCTGTCTCGGGTCTGTACCACCAGGGATATATGTCAGAAAGTTGGGTACGTTCATGATAAAGTGTCTTGCTTGTATGGCTCTTGCTCAGAAAGGATTAATTAAGGTACTTCATTCCCCAGTCTCCAATTTGGTCATTATCAAGCGCTATAAATGTATTCACCATTTCTCGTCATTTTTCTTCTGTCTGCACGCACCTGGAGGAAAGAACAAGGGGAAGCATCAAGCAGGTTTGTGATTCCTGTTCTGCTTCGTGTTTGTTGATAAATCTGATGCCTAACAGATGTTTTAACTGCGTATCGTGTGAGCAAAACCCACAAATACAAGGTGGTTAACAGGGACCTTTCACAAGATTGCCTGCAAAGCTTGCTGCTTTGTTGATTTTTTCCCCCCCTTGGGAGCATAAGTGTCTTTCCCTAACTCACTCACTGCTTTTTACAATCTGCAGAGCATGGGATGTTTGGGGTAAAAATAATAATTATGGTCTTTGGTTGTTCCTTGCTACTGTTTTCCCAGACAGAAATCTTACCCAAGTATTCAAATCCCATGAAGCAGGATAAGATATACTCCCCTTCACCAGGGTCCTTCTTTTAAAGTGAGAAACAGTATGGTATGGGGAGGGGGTAGGAGTGAGGGACAAAATGAACACTGTGTCCAGGAGGTAAGAACACTCTGTGTGCAACATCTCCCGCTCATTCAGAGCTGAGGTCTACTCAGGTGATCTGATCCAAACGAATAGTCTCCCTTCCTTTAGGAAGAAGGTAATCCTCCTGGGCACTTCACCACATCAGCTACACTGTGTGGTCATTCTTTCGTGCCTTAGAAGGAAGTAAATGCTGTATCAGACTGAATAGCAGAAAACTA